GGGACATTCTTGGAATGTAAGACATTTCTTAAAACTAGATTCACCATTTGGATGTGTTGTGTATATCAACACCTTTATGATATATATGACATTTTTTTAAAGACTAGATTCACCATTTGGATGTGTTGTGTAGATCAACACCTTTATGACATATATGACATTTTTTAAAGACTAAATTCACCGTTTGGATATGTTGTGTATATCAACACCTTTATGATATATATGACATTTTTTTAAAGACTAGATTCACCATTTAGATGTGTTGTGTAGATCAACACCTTTATGACATATATGACATTTTTTAAAGACTAAATTCACCGTTTGGATGTGTTGTGTAGATCAACACCTTTATGACATATATGACATTTTTTTAAAGACTAGATTCACCATTTGGATGTGTTGTGTAGATCAACACCTTTATGACATATATGACATTTTTTTAAAGACTAGATTCTCAAATTCGGTGATGTCTGGTCATCAGCACGTTCAAAGCCTAAATAATGTTCAAGTCTTTTATATGAGGTGTGTATGGTGTATTCTATGGAATGGGTCTAAATTCCATTGTGCGTATGTGACGTAAATTACATGGATTGAATGTCATTTATAATGTGTTAGTATAGTATAAATTCTGTGGATTGGATCTAAATTCTAATGTGTTAATATTGTATAACACCTATGGATTGGGTCTAAGTTCTAGGGTGCATATATTGCATAAATTATATTGATTGAGTCTAAGTTCCACTGTGCTTATATTGCATAAATTATATTGATTGAGTCTAAGTTCCACTGTGTTTATATTGCATAAATTCTAGTGTGTTAATATTGCACCACTTTCTCTGTATTAGATCTAAAGTGTATTGCGTTTATATTACACGCTAACAATACAAATGCAGTATTTATAAGACAAAGAGTTTATTAAGAAAATGTTGATAACGTAGTTATAGTAAAAAGGTCTAAATTATATTACTTTAAATTCCGGCTTCTATATACGTCTAACATTTGTTTTGTAATACCCCGAATACTAGCTAAGATTCAATTAAATTATAGGATATGAATATCTCGTAAAGTTTTTCCTGTCTAAATCTAAAGCTGTTTTGCATGAACTGGGCACTGTTCTTTTTGTGTTGAAACTTTACATCACAATATACTGAGAACAAACCACATTACTAATAATAAAATATACGGAGATTTATAACTGACACTAAAACCTAATGTTCAATGTAATGTACTGACAGTTTTATATATTGAAACCAAATGTAACGTTTTAATGCAATATCGCATGGATTCTAATAAGACTATATACTTAATGCTTGGAATTTTAATATTTACATGAACAGAGAGTGGTGTTAAAGAAAGATCTATTTAACTCATACACGAAGTCAAGCATGTTTATATTAATATTCCTCGCGCCCGTTAATTATACTTAAAGTTCAGACGGGTGTTAACTCTACTGAAATTTCTATGACATCAGGTCGAAATTGTAGGCTTAATGAAATGTGCTATTTTTATAATGGGAAATAAAAAGTTCAGTGAATTTAGGTTTAAAACTTTATTTTTTCTTATAAGGTCCAAGTCCTGTAAAGAGTTTAAAACATTAAGCGATGTTATAGGTTGACATATCAAGAACATAATATCTAAAATCTGTTCATTATTCATTGATTAGGACTAGAAGTTGGCTTACTAAGATTAAATACTGCCATATATAAAGATTAGATCTCAAGACTACTGGGTCAGTATCAGATTTATATTTAAAATGATAGCTGAAGTCAGGATTCTTGCATCCTGTTTATTTTAAGATACATCTTTAAAACTTACACGGTACAACAATGGATGAACCAGAATAAGAATGTAAAAACTAAGAGTTTGTAACTAGTTTCAACACTTCATTCCATTCTTAAAATGAAAGAATATTTATTTCCGAAACGTTTAATAATATAAGACAGGTTATCTCATTTATAATAATATTAAGTAATGCGATAAAAATTAATTAGGTTTAACTAGCACAAATCGCCACCAGTGGCTCAACGGTAAATCAAAAGACTCTATAAAAGCAGGTTTCTATACCCGTGATAGGCACAGCACAGATAACCCTTTGTGTACCTTTGCGTTTAATAACAAACTAGCCCAAACCCTTTAGACAGATGGATTATGAGGTAAAAATTTGTCTTCTAAAGAGTCTACAGTGAAATAACTAAAAAAGTTGCCTTAACTAGGCCGCTGTGTTCAACACTCTGCTAATAGTAGGTGTTATAGGAGGTCTTTTCTTATTTTGTGGTAATTACTTTCTACTCAAAAGAAAACGAATATAATACCAAAACTGAATAGGATAAAAAGCACTGGGGACATTTTTACTTGGCGAAATTATTTAATTAAAATAATCGAACAAGTTAAAGTGAAAAATATTTTATTCAAGGTTCCTGACCCTGGAAACATATACATGATGTCCTACCAATAATCCAAAGAATCTAAATCAAATAACAAAAAAACTGGAACTCTTTATATTTTAGAGTAATTTAGAAAATGGCTAGGAGATTTGAAATAAAAATGTCTACATAATATATTAAACAAAATGAAAAGTCTAATGAATTCAGCAGGATTTAAAATATTTAACGCAACCATCTTGATATTGACAGTTAACTTTCGTTTTGCACAAATTTATTTTAAAAACTCCAGGGAAGACTTAAAGGGTCTATATCACGATTTTTATTTTGTTAATATTTAGATCTTGACTCATCATCTTCGGGTGGGCCAGGATCTAAAAAACAAAAAAAAAGCGAATTCGACATATGTTTAATGTGCGTGTTATTTAGTAATTAATATAGGAATAATTGATATCCAGGTTTTGGTCATTATAAAATGCAGGCCAGTGATCAACACCTTGTGCTGGAAACCACATGCTCGGCAGCGTTTCAGAAAAGCTGGTTGCTTATACGTACGAATTCATTTGTAACTGATGTAACTGTTCGTGATGTTTGCTGTTATTTAAATACCACTAGATGGCAGTTCTACTTCCATCAAGTGTTTTAACTTACAAAAAGCCCACTAGATGTCAGCAGTTAACCTTAAGACGTCATTAATGATCGGCACCAAGAGATATGGTTTTATATATCTTGAAAAATGGTTTGATACGTAGTTTCCCTGTAAGGCTACTCAATAAACTACCAAGTCCACCTCCACCTCCGCTGAAAAGAGCGCTTAAAGGTGGTGGACTTAGATTAATGTGTATTCCATTTGGGGTTATCTTGATCCCGCTCCCATGATGTCTCTCACCATAGCGATGTTCATGGTGGTAATGACCACCTTTAGGGGGGTGGTACGTCTGTTGAGGAGCATAGCCACTTCTCTGGTGGAAAGCATGGCATGGGGTTACCCAGTCTGTAAGGTTTCCAGTGCATTTTCCGAAGGACGAAGGCCTGAGAAAGAGAATAGCATCATTAGACCTAGTTTGTTATGTTCGAAAACTAGAAAAAAATACTTTTACTACCGTATTGCACAGACAAAAATAAAATAAATTCACCTGTCTTAATTCACGTATAACATGTTCCTTTAACATTACGTGTTCCATTCTACTCCCCCGGCTTGTTATTAATTATAATACGTCCAATAACAGTTATACATGAAAAGAGATGTAAAGTCTTAATTACTCACCAAAAATGAAACCTATGACGATGGAACATTTCTAAAACACAGTTAACGTCATCGTATATGTCATCATCTCTTAATCCTGAAAAACACGTTTGTTAGAAATGTGTTATAATTGATATAATAACTGAAATAATAATTTCTTAAATTAATTATTTAAAACTAGCATAATCAAGGTTATCTACCAATATCGATTTTTTTATAAGTATCATATATTTCAAATTGATTTCCTACTGTATGAACTCACTAATATGCCATGTTTGAGACTCTGTGGTTTTTACTGTGATTGTTTTTATCAACTCTTAAGTTCCAAAATATAATTACATTTTCCTTTTCTTTTAAAAAACTTTTTTATTTATTTAATAAATCTATTTCAGCATTCTTATCGTTTACACTAACAATAAGAAATATTGTCAAAAAGCAAACACGACAACAGTGCAATATTAAGTTATAAAAACGGCTTTAAGAAGTTGGACAACGCCTGCGAATGTTGTTAAAATGTGGAGTTAAAATAATGAGAAGAATACATAAGTTATGAGAGGAAGGGGTTGTTTCTTCATTGTTGGTGTCTATATAAGGGAGTTAAAATAATGAGTAGAATACATAAGTTATGAGAGGAAGACGTCGTGAAGGGGTTGTTTCTTCATTGTTGGTGTCTATATAAGGGAGTTAAAATAATGAGTAGAATACATAAGTTATGAGAGGAAGACGTCGTGAAGGGGTTGTTTCTTCATTGTTGGTGTCTATACAAGGGAGTTAAAATAATGAGTAGAATACATAAGTTATTAGAGGAAGACGTCGTGAAGGGGTTGTTTCTTCATTGTTGGTGTCTATATAAGGGAGTTAAAATAATGAGTAGAATACATAAGTTATAAGAGGAAGACTTCGTGAAGGGGTTGTTTCTTCATTTTTGGTGTCGTCTATACAAGGGAGTTAAAATAATGAGTAGAATACATAAGTTATGAGAGGAAGACTTCGTGAAGGGGTTGTTTCTTCATTGTTGGTGTCTATACAAGGGAGTTAAAATAATGAGTAGAATACATAAGTTATAAGAGGAAGACTTCGTGAAGGGGTTGTTTCTTCATTGTTGGTGTCTATAAAAGGGAAAGAGATTGCGTGGTGGCAATTAAGAAAATGTGTTTATTTTAAAAAGTTGAAAGCAAAACTGGATGATCGATAAAACCTACATATAAAAATCAATACGTTATTTTTAATTTACGATTATCAACTGACCGGAAAAGTTTTGGTTCAGTTCTTCATATCAGGTATGATGTTTAGACTGAGTTTTCTATGGTCTTCTCCTTCCCCCCCCCCTTTTTTTTTCTTTTTGATTTTAAACGAGTCCTTCATCAAGTCTGCATTTTGTTAAAAGATGAGAGATTGAAAGACAGTAATGTGATCCTTTCATAATCTTTCTTCTTTTCACAAAGTACATATCTCACTATGATTTTCGATGACGAGGAACCCACTTTGAGACTAATAATGGCTGGAGACGGCTTGAATGGGTAATGAAGAAAAACTTTAATATAACAGCAAATGTACAACGTTTCGACAAGGTTTTGTCATTACCCATTCAAGCCGTCTCCAGCCATTATTTGACTATGATTTTGTTTAAAAAGGACACGAAACAGAACTCCACGTAATTAACAATACCATTTCAATTATAGTAATGACTTCGATGAGTTTACTATTCGTACATTAGCAGTTTGGAGGTAAAACCCGCCAATTAAATTAGTAATTACGAGGAGCTTGTCTGAAAGTTGCGATGTTCTGATAAAATTATTTCACATAGACTTATCCGTATTAGTGAGAACGTACACATGTCTGAAGGTTGTGATGTTCTTATAAAATTATTTCACATAGACTGATTCGTATTAGTGAGAACGTACACTTGTCTGAAGGTTATGATGCTCTGATAACATTATTTCACATAGACTGAAGGTTGTGATGTTCTGATAACATTATTTCACATAGACTGATCCGTATTAGTGAGAACATACACATGACTGAAGGTCGTGATGTTCTGATAACATTATTTCGCACAGACTGATCCACATTAATGAGAACGTACACATATTTAAAGGCTTTGATGTTCTGATAACACCAGAGAACACACACAGTCTGATAAGTGTTCATTTAAAGGAGAAACGAGACTTACGATCACATGACAATTGGCAGACGTTACTGCTAGGACTTCTGTTGGCTGACTGACACCAATATCGGTCATTGATCTGGAAACATTAAAGAAATACGGGTTGTAAGTAATTTCATTTTATTTTTTATTTTGAATAAGGCTTAATTAAAATATTATTACTAACCACTAAAAACCAAATTAAGGATAAACCAGTAAACCTGAACTAAAACAACACATACAAGTATCTTTACATGGTAAAAACATTTTTATTGAAAAAAAGAGGGAAAAAAAAGAACTTCTAATTTGTTATCCTGCGGTGGGACAGTGGTAAGTTTACGGATTTATAACGCTAAAATCCAGGGTTCGATTCCCCACAGTGGACACAGCAGATAGCCCAATGAGGTTTTGCTCTAAAACAAGCAAATTTAATTCGCAAGGCTGTTGTTAACTTAAGTAATTATTATAGGTGTCTAAACATATAAATTGACCAAAAAATATGCATGCGATTTCTTGTATAAAATGTTATTCCTCCCCATTGTTCTCTTATAGATCACATTTGCCATTTAGTTTCTTATAGAAATAAAACTATCGCAAACCAAAAATGTACATGTAGTTTATTTCTCTCTATTTTCTTCTTACTAGCGATCTATTCAACCTTTAAATATTATAGTTGCCTATAATGAACCAGAACTCGTTCATATCTAAAGCTATAAATAGCGCAAGATGTATCATCTTCTAGGTCAAGTGCAAAGAAAGCGCTACCTTACGGTTATTTTAATAAATCTCTTACGTATTCACGGGCAATTTAGTATAGCATGCATTATTGGAGTTTATTGCGACCAAAGAGTTATTTCTAGATCTCTTAGACTTTCCTTAATATGTAATGAGCTATTGGGTAAATATGATTAATAATTCTATTTTTCGTCTTTACATACTACACAGCATTACTAAAACAGAATTTCGGGAAATCACATATGACACTGTTTGTTTATTTTAGAGCAAAGTTGAACAATGGGCTATCTACGCTCTTTCACAGCTGGAAATCGAAACCCGGATTTTACTGTTGTAAGTTCGTAAACATAATGCTCACCAACCTGAGAGTCAACTACCTTGGATAAAATAAAATATGTAAAAGTGCAAAATTCATACCAAATAACCTTAAATATATATTTTTTACTAAGACATTGATAATTAATGAGTGAATATTATTATATTACTCACAGAGAAAAAAAAACAACGATAAAATGATATAGGGCTTTCACAGTTTTACCAAATTTATTCTTTTTGTAAGCTTTTGTAATGTTGTTTACTGCAGTTAGATGGCGCTCATCTGCTACAGTGTATGTGTACCTAATCTGTTGATACACTTTACTTTACTCTAGTACGTTAAATTTCATTACCTAACTTGTTGTAAAATGATAGTGATTAGTGGAGTGAAAGTTTTATCAAATAAGGAGTTTACTACTCAAGTTGACGAAAAAATACTCTGTGTTAAGAATTATGACAACCAAAGTTATTTTATTTTTGGAACAAAAGTAGTTTTCCTACTTTTGAAATTTTAATGAAGTTACTAGCATAAACTAGTAAAGAATTAAAAATCGATATACAAAACGAAGTAAGTCCTGACAGGCTAAGGCACACATGAGTAAGTGCACGAATGTGCGAGGTTTCGAGTTGAACGAACTTTAATGTAAAGAATGACGTCATGCATTCCGAAGTGGTCTGGAAGGACAGCATACAGTTTTCTAGGTCGTCTCAAACAGGTAAAAAAACTACAAGTATCGTGGCAAGTTTCGAGATCCCGGACTTGTGCCAAATTACAGAGTTCTGTATCATATAAACGTCTGTGTAGAGCCAAGATTTAGGAAATGTATAAATAAATATTACGCTAGTTCTGATTCTATTCATGGTCCAAAATCTAAGAAATATTACAAGCACTTGAATAAATTTACGACACGAATACAGGAATGGTCAGAAAAACTAGGTAACGGACTTGTCTAATCGTATGTTAGATATAAATATCAAAGCTTTATGACGTCAAGATTACTCTCCGAATTTTTTCTCTTTTTTTTTTTTCCTGTTATAACTTAGAATTAAATTTCATGATACATTTTTCGGTGTTTTGAGGTATATTGTGGGGTATTTTTATAGGGTGATATCTATTTCAACTGCTTTGACAAACTTTAAAGAAGCAATAATTTTTATACGACATTGATAATCTCAACTCTGGTGCATTCGATGGTCGTGATATATATATATATAACAAAAGCTCAATTACGGCAGAGCTGCCATTCAGAAGTATTCCAACTCCAAGAGGGAAGAAATAAATAACTGGAAGACAGAATATTTTAATTTTGTATACTTTCAACAAAGTCGTTTACAAATATTTGTCAGTCTTTCTCAGAATAATAGAGTTAAGTACCAATATGCAAGTAATTTTTAAACTATAGCAACTGTCAGTTGTTTAGAACGACACAAAATATTCTTCCACACCATTACATGGTATGTTTGCCTGATAAAGACAACTGATAAACCTCCAGTCTAGAGCTGACAAGTTGCAACAGAGCAGTGCCGAATACAGGGAGTGTGCAAAAAATTCCCCCTGAAATATAGTATTTTCCAAGCTGTACAGATATTTATCTCAAGGCCTGTCAGAGGCATATATTTAACGTATTCATTAAATGCGATATTTATCTACAAGATTACATATAGATTTCTCTATTGCAGCCTTGAATCCAGACCTTTTAACCTGTGGTGTAATTAAATTCAAATTCGACAAAATGGAAAATACTATATTTCGGGGGGAATTTTTTTGCACACTCCTGTATTCAGCACTGCTTTGTTGCAACTTGTCAGCTCTAGACTAGAGGTTTATCAGGCAAATATACCAAGTAATCGTATGGAATAATTTTTTGTGTGGTTTTGAATAGATGTCTCTATTGCGACTTGTCAGCTCTAGACTAGAGGTTTATCAGTTGTCTTTATCAGGCAAACATACCAAGTAATGTTATCAAGTACGATTTTTGACATACATTATGGCACTAATTTTACACACTGTGCCCTCAAATTGTTCCCATATGCTACCTGTAAGTATGGGGAATAATTAACCACAGTGTGAAAATCATTGCAGTAATAGTTATAAGAAAAACAAAATTCTGAAGTTGGCGAAAATTCCTTTAAAATTAAACTTACACTTAATAAAGTTGGGTTTATCCCGAAGGTGGAAATTAATGATTTTTATTTTGACTTTCAATATAACCATTCCTAATCTTTGTAGTAACAATAGACTTTTTAAGTATAAATAAAGAAATGCCCTTTAAACACTATCAACTGACATTGGTGGCTCAACGGGAAATCTGAAGATTTATTATGCTAAAAATCTGGTTTCGATACCTGCGTTGGGCAGAGAAAAGATAGCCCACAGTATAGCTTTGTGCTTAACGATAAACAGACTCGATTTATCAGTTTTTGAGAAACAGATATATAACTTTGGCATCAAAAACAACAAAAAGTGGATATATGGGACAACAATGTATCGATTACCGTTTTCATTATTGATATACTTATCTGATTTTGTCGTAGAAACAATTACCTGAAACAATCCATGGTTTGCACTTCCATCACTAAGTGTTCTATAACTAGTCGTCTCGTACTTACTCTCCCAGTATAGCAAACATAGCCCTACAAAACACAAAATATACTCTGATTAGGCACTCACGTAACAATACGTTCTTTTTTATTTTCAATTGGTCTTAAAAAACAAATTAGGTAATACCAACATTCACAAATCTTAATACTATAGCTTTTTATTATTTTTTATTGCTAGCAATATTTTAGTGCAACAATAACTCATTAGTTAATTACATAAAACAGCCGTGAACACTACATTTTTCAGACAGACTTCGTAAAATACACTTTTAATCATAAGTTAAAATGAATATTCTATACTTCATATCTGAAGCTTAAATGATAATGTCAAAAAAATGTGAAATTGCTATCATACATAACAAAAGAGTTAAAGATGAATCTTACAAACTATTTAAGATTTGTTTAACACAAGATTAACACGTAGTTTATAGACGAAACGTTCTAAGTCCTAGCTAAAGAAGAACTTATGCATTGAATTCTTCCTTACTTATCACTTAAAAACAATTATGTCTCATATACGCCAAAAGCCTGGCATGTTTTGGTGGCTAGGGTGCTCGACTCCCAATCTGAGGGTCGCAGGTTTGAATCCCCGTCACACCAAACATGCTCGCTCTTTCAGCCGTAGGGTCCTTATAATGGGGCGGTCAATCCCGATATTCGTTGGTGAAAACGTAGCCAAAAAGTTGGCGGTGTGTGGTGTTAACTAGCTGTCTTTCCTCTAGTCTATCACTGCTAAGTTAGGGACGGTTAGCGCAGATAGACCTCATGTTGCTTTACGCGAAATTCAAAACAAACCAAACCATATGCACCGCCTGGTGAAAGTGGTATCTTGGTAGGAGGCTGAGAACAGTATATGTTTTGTTCCTCACATAGTATTACACAGAATCTTCAGCTTTAATTAAACCGTAAACGAAAGAAATTCTTTTCCCTGATTATCTCAAAATTGTTTGACCTCTTTATATAGACGTACGTCTAAACAATAATAATCGAAAAATTCAACACTTAAAACTTTCAAAATGCTGGAAAGCATCTACATGATGAAGCACCTCCTTGACCTACTATCCATATTAATAAGAAAACAGGATTAAATACACATATCAAAGACCTCATTGGCTCAGTGGTAACCTTGAGGACTTATAACGCTAAAATTCGGGGTTCGTTCCTTATGACGAGCACAGCACAGATAGTCCATTGTGCAGCTTTATGATTAAAAAATACAGCAAAAGATTTTGCTTTGTTTTTTGAGCTTCTATTGTTGGTAACATGTTACACATGGAGTCCATTAGGTGACGATTTTTGTACAAAGTGTAAAAACATTACTGTAAGTTACGTAAGCTTCCAATACCTAAACACGAGCTTATAAGAAACTAAATATGTTATATGCAGCTATGATAAACTCTTATACGTACTATATATAGCCTATATATACATATGTATTTATTGGTGATTATATGGTTGTAAATAAATCCTAGAGTGTTGTATATTATACAGTCAACAATCTTGGCAAACTTAGTAATGGAACTCACAGTTAGCAGTGTCTTAGGGTGGAACATTGAATGTCTGCCTTAAAAAGGAAATACAATGCAAGAGCACGTACATTTTGGAATATCCTCTTGTGGAAACTTATAGACTTCATTAAGCTCACGAGCCAGTTCACAGCGATCATAAACTTTACCATGCCCTCTGGCGACAAACAGAAGAATTATGAATACTGTTGTCAGAACCACGGATTTCATTTTTACTCCTGGAATATAAGAGAGAAATTAGATTATGATGTTATATTTTCAATTTCAGTATTTATAATGTTAGAGGCAAATGTTCTACGGAGGATGTACTAAAACTTAGATCCATGTAGTTATCTAAAATATATTTTATTTTATTGCTAATCGTGAAGTTAATATTGAAAAGCAGTTTGATGCTGTCGATTTTTTGATGTAGTATTAGTGTCCGCTTTGAAATGTATTTCTAATTAACGTGTTATATTTGTTTATAACGAAGTTTATCAGTTGTGACAGGCTTCTTTTGATTTTCTTATTTTGTGCCATATTTACAGAAAATGATAAGCATATAATTTCACCACAAACGTCTGGATTTAATAACATATCGTCCTCATGTATTACAAAAACCAAAATGTTCAATAACAAATACACAACGCGAGTGATGACAACCATCACGAAGAGTTCCAATGGACAACTTACAGACGATAAACTCCCTTCCAGGTTTACTTGGACTGAGAAGAACTGAAGTTATTATAAACTATGTGCAGAACAAGTCAGCCTGGTATCCAACCCCTTCCCTGTGCAAAACCACCTCCAAAACACAAATGTGTATGATCCGTAAAATCATCAAAATTTATTAATTAAAAACAGATAATTTAACAAGAAAACATGTGTAAAGTAAATAAACCCTGAATGGGAGGTACGTTTACTAGTAATCATTTTACTCGTAGTATGTTGGTTTGATCCATTATTTATGTTCTCGAACAAGTAGTGTATTATCGTCATATTGCATTGAATGCCTTACTCTGTTGTTTTTTTCTTAAGGCGTTTCTATCAGTGCAAGTTAGCGTGGTTTAGGACTCAATATACATAAATAATCACAAAAAATATGTTATTACACAGTTTTTACAACATAGCTAAGAAACAGACCAGAAATCAGTAGTAAATGTTGAATCTTTCTTCACGTGTTGTGCATCAAATAAATCACAAACTCAGCACTAAGCCCTAGAATCATTACTTTGATATTGTTCGTGATAAGTTATACACCAACAAAGTTACAGATAGGAGCAGTTGTCTGTGTCCAGATTTAGAAACAGAGAAGACATTCTGCTTGCTTCTTTTTTGTTTTTCGTAGCATTAAGTTCCAACATTATTATCAATAATCGTTTATATTATTATGAGTGTGCGTGCTTTTGTAGAACTTGTTTGTTAATATATTTTTTTCACAGTGTTGAGGCAATAAGAACAACCACAAGTCCATATTTGTGGTTACTATAGTGCTGAAACAGTAACGTTACCTTTGGTCGTGTTATGAAGCGTACGTGGCAATAGCTAATATACACAGCCTTGTTTAACTAAACGATGTTGAAGGGGCGAACCCATAACTAAAGTTTTGAAACCATGTTTTATATAGCACTAGATGGAATACCCGTCTGTTGGACGAGTGAAATAAAAACTCGTTTGTAACAAAGGATAGGAAATTGTGCTTCTATATACTTTCTTAACATTATAAACATTAAAAGTACAATTAAAATACATAAAGATACACTACTGAAAAGAAAGACATACTGTATTCAAGAATTCTATCAATATGAAATTAAATGGGGGCCCACCCCCCTCATGACCTTCGTCATGTCATCCTGTATCACTGTGTCAAGTTGTGCTGATTTGGTAGTTTTCCAAAATTATATATGAAGGTAGATGGGGGGGGGGAGGCAACCCCTCATTCCTCATGTCATCTTGTATCACTGTGTCAAGTTTGATGCTGATTGATCCTGAAATGCGGAAACGTATAAGGAACAGATATTGACGTTTATTTATATAGACTGATTGCTGCACGTTTTTTAACAGCATCAGCCTAAAGGTTATTTATTATAATAATCAAACATTGGTGCACTCTTTATTATATCACTTTAAAGCTTCTTTAAAAAGATGCCATAGCAACGGAAAGTAATCATATAAGGTATCATAGTAACAGAAAATAAAAATATAAGTTACCATAGTAACAGAAAGTAAGCGCATAAGTTATTATAGCAACAGAATATATAAACTGAACACTTATACTTGTACGTTACATCCAAGTTTTGTCGATATTAACTTGGAAGAATAAAACTTATTATTTTGTAGTAGTTCATCAATATTTTGAATGGCAATCACTTCGAGGCGGCTCTTAAAAGAATAAGATGGGATTATTGTCTCCGTCTGCGTTTACTTAATCTTCTGATTCAAACAGAAAAAATAGTACCAGCCATCTTTCTATTATATAAAATCTCGAGATAGTTGGTATTCAGTTTTATTATATTATCAATAACTTTGATATCGCCCATTCCACCTCCAAGTTCAAATAGAAAATGCTTTAAAGTTATATTTAAATAACTATAAAACAAATACTTTAAAAAAGCAATTTTTATACTTAAAATTTTGATGAGAAAAAACGACTACTTGGATGTGATATTTTACATTAAAGAAAGACCATTTCTCCAACAAAACACACGCTTTTACAAATCATTCAAAAAATATAAATGTATTTAACAACTAAATATAAGTTATAATGAGATTACGTAAAATTTAAGCGTGTGTAGTACATTTAGTGCATAAGTTAAAATGCTTAACAATTTAATGAAGAATTGATTAGAATGCAACGAAAAGAATCTGGAGCTAAACATCAAAATTAACTCTGCTTCGACTGTGTGGTTTTAACCTATACAATTAAGCTGTACTACATCTGATACGTCAACTAGTTATTCTTGAATCAACACGTATTAAAGCTGTACGTTGTATGTAAGGCCTTAATTATATGGTTAAGTTAATCCCATAATTCTGCGAGTAAGTTAAATAATTAGTAATGATGAAGAAAACTGTTTTCGTCTCAGGAACATGAAATTGAAACCCAAAGGCATGGAGCTTGAAACAAAAACAAATCTAAATTAAATCCTTACCTTCTTGTCAAGTCTGGTCGAAGAAATAAACACATTACACGAGAACGGTAACGGTCTGCTGTTCAACTGACTTCGTTTCTCCTTTTATAATACGCCGCGAGGAGGCGATTGACCTTAACCTATAGGCATTGAATTTCGCCGAAAACCATTGGGGAAGCATCTTCCGTTTAAATTATTTAGGTTTCAGTTAGAATAGCAAAAGTTATTCTGAGTTAACCAATCATACGGCATTAACATCCTGAGTTGTCTGATATTAACTTAAATGTTGCTAAAAGCTTTAGTTATACACACACAAACAAAAACAAGCTACGTATGTTTATATATAACTCATTTCGCACGCAAGCGCACTATCTGCGTTTAGTATTACCAACCTTGAATCGTGGGCTATTGTGCACGTTTCCGATGACGTAAAGTAAGGTTAGTAACAAACTTGTACACGTCGGAGAACAATAAACTTGTAGATTTAGGTTGTAGATGAAATTATTAATAATTTTCTTTTGTTTTTGTTGTCAGTAAACTAGTTAATGCACATTTCATTAATGATACAATCATGTTATGAATATTTTATAGAAATTCTTGTACTTTAGGACTTCGTCCAATTTCGGTTCTGATGTAATCACTTGTACTTCTTTGTTAAGCCTCATATCTTAAGAAAAATATATTTAAAGGTTCTTGCCGTGTGATGAAAAATTCCTATTATTTCATAAATTAAGAGTTTTGTTCAACAGTGGTTCTTAGCTAAAACGAGACACGTACGTTCATAAGGCTCAATTTTCATGCCTTGAATTAAGGACTGTTGTATCTATTTAGATGTGTTTTTACAAATATTTGTTACTATTGTTTATTACCAAAATCATTGCTAGCCACCAAAAGGGAAAAGGCAGTCGTCAGTTCAACATATATTTTTTTATATTTGGAGAATGTTTATAATAACAACGAAACAAATAAAAGGATATCGAAAAACATAAAGAGTTAATTCGGATAGACATTGCTAGAAATAACTATAATTAAATTCTCTTGGCTTACCGACTATGGGCACTACCTTCATTCCCAAAGAAATTAACATTTGATCGTATTAAAGCACTAAATGCTAGAATCAGTAATGATCATTCTTTGATTGACTGTTTAGGCTGAGTATTCATGATGAAACTTTGTAGAATGGACGGCAACTGCCTGTTGTAGAGACATAAATGTAGAGGACGACGTTTCGAAAGTCTTCCGCCTTTCGTCTTCTACATCGATAATGATCATATTTGAAGCGCTGAATACTAGAAATAATAATGATCATTTTAGATGTACTAAATGATAGAATTAATAATGATGATATTGGAAGCACTGGATGTTGATAAATAAATATTTCACGTCATGATTTAGAAACATCTTAAAAATGGCCTTTACTTTTCATTAATATTCATCTACGTCGGCCAAAATATTAACTGACATAGACGCTCAGTCCTTGAGGCAGATGGGGCATGTGCCCCAATTGTATTGCAAAGTAGCAAAATATATATTTATTGCCCCTTCACTTTCCCACCACTCATGGCTGTATATGTTTTACTCCTTCTTGCCATATTATTAACTAATATCAGGTACACATACACATTCATATATATCCAAACATTTTATGAAGAGTCGAAAATAGATATTTTTGGGCTGAACTGAGCTTTGCCAATTCCAATCAGAAATGCAATTATTGTTTGTAAATTACTTTATTTTTCAGTTTCACCCACGTTTGAAGAAGATCCTTTTAGCTAATTTAGAAGCTGTTTCTTTTCACGCTCAGGTACAAGTCAGAAAGCAAAATTAACTATCAAACAAAAATAGGACGAAAATGAACAAATGACAAAGTGAGTGATGTAGTTTTTAATGGTATGAATATATTTCTAAGATGCCTGCTGTTTCTTCTGCATCATTTGATCCAGAGAACACTTAAAATAAAGCTGTATTTTGTTACTATTTTTATTGATATATAAAAGATGCAACAGCTCTTGGCCTTTCAGAAGAACATTGAACCTTGAATATGAAAAAACCCTTTAGTGGAGTACATTTTTTTTAACACTATCATAATGAGGTGAAAAAACTAACTTAGCAAGCAAGACAATCTTGCTTGTCGAAGTGTGTTTAGAAAAATACAGGGTGTTTACATTGCCGAAGGCTAATTTTAATTAATTTTCTTTCTGTTTCCTTCTAGAACGGGAACTTACCCTCACCGTTTTTAATGTCGCATTCACTGAATAAAACAAACGGGCTGTCAACGTTTTCTGTTAACTTATATAAGACTGGTCTTCACTAAGTTCCTCGATGATACAAGGAGAAATTTGAAACATTGTGTAATGGAATAACATTGATTTTATTGGTTAATAACACCCTTATATCACCATTAGATATAATTAAAATCTGTCAAACACTTATCACATTAATTAACCACTGAAAGTATAGTTTACACTCTGCTTTTTTTTACGCATGTTTAACTTATTCCGCCTAAAAAAAACAGAAACTAACCAAGTTTGAATTTACCCAATCACTGGAAGTATAGGTTTTCTGAATATCCTTTTAATGTTATCTAAACTTGATATGTATTAACGTCAAAAGAAATCTAGAAAACCTACAGGCTGAAGTGGCACGTTAAAATATAAAAGTTTCCTTAGCCTACAAGTATAGAGTGTCTATCATGTCATAGTCCGTTGAACCTTCTGTTCGAAATTAGATGACAATAGGCAGGGGTCAAGTTGGGGCGAAACAGTCCGGAACGGCATTCAGCCTCTTTTGATTGGACCACGTTACTACTACATAGTGGATCACAAAAGGGAGTTCCACGTCTTTCAAATTTACAGTTTATCCAGGATTAAGGATTCCTATGTGGAATTAATTGTGGTACGTCCTGTATTTCTATTGATTCCATTTTCTGGGTTTATGTTTCTTATTTTCATTTGGAAGACGAATAGTCCTACTGTCGCCTAACTTCGAACGGTAAAGTTCAGTGAACTATGACTTGATAGACATTGTTTAGTAACGAACACTTTGTTAATATCGTTTCTTTTAACACCATTTATCCTAATAAAATACATGCGTTCCGCTGTAGAATTTGTTTGTTTTTAAGCACAAGGTTACACAATGGGCTATCTGTACTTAAGACGGGTATCGAAACCTGGTTTTTAACGTTAAAGCCGTCAGAATTACCACTGAATCAATGGGAGGCTCGCAGTGGGGTTCAAAAGCCACCTCTTGATTCACAGAGGTCCTAGTGGTCCCATTCTTCCATTTTCCCAAATTAAATCTTTAGCTACCTCAAATGTGGCGGTGGGTACTTTTTGTGCCCGAAAACGAAACCATTTAAGACACCCGCCTGTGGAACCTGAGCACGTGTGTCACGTTTGGCTCCACTAGCTTGAGTTGGGCTATGAACACACTTTCAAGCCTGATACTCCCAGCATCCCGATGGAGGCCAGGAACACAAAACCTGATGCCAAATTATGATTCAGCGACTCTGAAAATTTACTTCTAGCCCTTGCTCATGCCTGGAGGTGTTATAGTTCCCCTTGGTACCCCTCTGATAAGGAGGCCATATCTTACAGGTAAGGATACCCCCTGGGTCACCCCGTGTCCGCCTGCTAGCTCCTAAACAATAGGATGAGTTCGCGGACAAACAAATACACAACTTGATTTAATACAGGATATTGATATTCCAAAATGTGTGAAAAAAATTATGTAAACTGTAGATGTTTTTATTAAATATTTTTCTTAATTTGTCCAGACCAACTAATGAAAGTCTAGAAAGAGACTTGTTGGAGACAAAAGATAGATTTGAAATGCTATTTTGTAGACGCTTCTGATTTTGATTCCGAAATTGACAATTTAAGAGAAATGCTTTAAAAAAATTCCAGTTTACATGATTTGTGTCACAAATGTTAGACCTATTGGTTTGTATTGCTTCACCAGCACTTGGCGTTTAAACCGCTACTTTTTAAAAAATATATTACCGCCTAAAGTTGTACATACATTCATTGTCAGGGGCGAATCCAAGATTTTTAAAAACGGATATGAAATAGTCTGAAAAGGGGTTTGTTGCCCCCACTCTGAAAAACTAAAGAAATTTTAACTCTTTCTAAGTTCAATACCTAACATTTTCCATTGATTTTTGCCGGTTATTTTAATCTAGCTTTGCAATTTAGAAATTCGAGTGACCAGTACTTTCTGCTACCTTCAAGAATATCTTGTCCTTCATTTGTGGAGCTGACTTTTAAAATCAGAATCTTGAAGTGAACTACAGAATCAAGAATGAAATTCTGCCGTTACTCACCAGTAATCGGTATCAGGACTTATTTGATCTGCTTTTCGTCCAACCCGCATGCCTTTCATCGTACTTTCAAAAAGCAGACACGTCACGACTCACAGAATTTAAGCAATAATTTAAGACTTTTCAAATGAACCAATAAATGACCCAGTAACAAGATCATGAGATAAAGTTACTTAGCAATTTCCATGTCAATCATTATTAAACCAATCAGGTAGTGTTATCTAGCTGTGCAATTTTTGGTGAATAACGATAAATGTCTAAAAATGACGCATTGTATGAGCTGATGCGTTGTGATCGGTACTTGCACATAATTTTTATTGGTAAGTAGTTCTATATAGTATTCTTGATACGCGCATTCTATATTAATTCACGCTGTGTGTTTGTATACGAACTCCCCGACAGTTTAGGAGATAGCAGACATAGACCCCCTTACCAATGAAGGCTAAAACGAACCCCCTTGAAGTAGTTATAGAAGTAAATTGGGATGATAAGAGAGCTTGATCGATACATTGGGGCCTGTTTTGATCATGAGATGGGCCTTGAAGCACCGCAGCGGAGCGTAGGATTTTTATGCAATTTCTGTATAATCTTCTCATTTTCTCACACAATTGAATTCTACTTTTTTTTTTTAAGAGCTGGAAAGCTTGTGGGTTAAAGATAATCAAAAACATCTTATAATTCTACGTGGTACTTCAGTCTTTAAGTTTTATTTTTACTGAAAGTACAGTTAACATTCTGCTTTTCGACGTTTAACGCACTGTTGCTACAACAACAGACCCAACAAAGATGTTGAATGTTCTTGATATCTAATATTCTTAACCCTTTATTATTTTTATTAGGATGTCCTTATTTCTCTAAGACTAAGCTTAATTATCAACTAATTATATTTTGGTTTGTTTGTTGTTAAGCACAAAACTGTACAATGTGCTGCATATATTATGCCAACCCCAAAGATCGAACCCCATATTCTAGCG